CTCGCCTTCCCCCGCCTCTCCCGCCTCTGCCTCACGCCAAAAGGATCGTCCTCATCATCCTCACCCTCACCCTGCACCGCCTCAACCCGACCCCGTCCTGCGCCCGCCCCAGCAGAAGACGACGCCTCGCCATCCCTCCTCCCCCCAACCTCGGCCGGCGGACAGGCGGAAACCACAGCCGCTCGCGGCCGCGACGTCGCCCCCAAACCTCCTCCTCCTCCTCCCAACCTGGCCCCGACGCCGGCCAAGCTCGCATCCTCGCCGCGCGGCGTCTCCATCAAGCCCTGCAGGCTGCTTCCCACCCAGGGCCCCTCGCCGTCGCCGCGCCCCAGCCCTCGCCTCCGCGCCGTCCGCGAAGCAAGCCCCCTGCGCCGCGTGGCCGTCGCCGTCGCCGGCCCAGGCACCACCGGCCGCTCAATCTCGCGGATCGCCGCCGCGTTCTGCGCCGCCGCGAGCCTCTTCAGGCGCGTGTACTCGGCGCGGTGGAGGTGCGCGGTGAACAGGCCCGCCGTGGCCAGCAGCTCGTCCTCCACCATGCGGTATCTATCGTCGCCCGCCGGCCCGGCAATCATGAACCTACCCGACCCCCAAGTATGAGCTGATGGACGCGAGATGCGGGCATATAAACGGGAGCTTACTGCTGGGCTGGCGGCTCTGGAGGCGGCGATGTAGACGGACTACGTACCCTACTGGCACCTTTTTTTTTTGGTCCCCTAATTAGCTCCTTTTACGTGATGGGATTCTGTCGGGTGGCACGGAGGGGTACCTTGCTCCAGGGGGCGACGAGACCAAGTAAGCGGAGGGGCGGAGGATTCAGGACGAGGACTTTGCTTCTTGGGCGTCGTGTTGGGCGGTGAGTCCTCGGGTTTCGTTTTCCAGGGGAGTTTGCGCGGCATTTTTTTGGGCCATGGGTTATTGTGCTGATTTTGCAAACCGATGGCGGTGTTTACTTGGGTGGTGTGTTGAGTGAAGTGGCGCGGCTGAGGAGGTTTCATGACTTTGTCAAGGGTAGGCAAAGTGAAGTTGAGTTTTTTATAGTTTTTTGGCTGTGATTTATAAACAAATGACGCGTATTAACCCAGCTGCGTCTTTCTTTGTGCTGTATTGTAGTTTATTATTTGGCCATTCTGACCACCGGTTTCTTTGCATTTAGTTATAATGAAATTGGTCTTGCACAAAGTCACAGTTTCTTTTGCAGCACAGTGGGTGAGACGCCTAGTGGACATGGTGAAATAAGCTAGACCACACAACTTTTGGTTTGCCAACAACTTCGTCCCGTGTACCATGGTTGGGGCACTTTCTGAATGCGCATGTTAAATTGCAGGATTTCATGTCGGGCTCACGGCAAGGTTGGTTTCTTAAATTTAGTCACAGCGTGTTCCGTCACATGGTACATTCTTGTCCATGCCGCGAAACCTTCATCACTACTACCCAGTTCATCCATTCAAGTCTCTATAATTCTAGTACACAGACCGGGTGTTCCAGCTCTTGGCCCCCTTGTACAAATGAAACGTGCTACATGTAAACACAAAAACCATGGCTTCCTCCCTTTCCCTTCATCCACGTGAATTCATGTCCTACTTTTACTGTACCTCTCTCACGACTTTGTCAATTGCACTGGCCACGAGGTCAATATTTTTCGAATTTAAGCCGGCCATGGAGATACGGCCGTTCTTAGTCATGTAGATGTGGTAGTCCTCGCGGAGCTTGAGAACCTGGGCCTCTGACAGACCAGTGAAGCTGAACATGCCAATCTGGTCGGTGATGTGGTTCCACGTTCCAGGGGTGCCGAGTTTCTCAAGTCTTGAGCGCAGCTCGTTGCGCATGGTGATGATGCGGCCAGACATGGTCTTCAAGTTGTCTTCCCACTCGGCAAAGAGCTTGGGGTCGTTCAGGACGGTAGCAGCAATACGGGCGCCATACAGGGGAGGGTTGGAGATTTCGGATCTCTGGAGAATGGCCAATTGGGAGCCGATACGGGAGATGGTGGTGCTGGCGTCAGGTCCGGGGCTGGTCACGAAGTGGAAGCATCCGGCTCGCTCGCCATAGAGGCCAAAGTTCTTGGCAAAACTTTGGCAAACGACGGTCTCGAATCCTTGCCCAATAAAGTAGCGGATAGCGGCGGCATCCTGGGCGAGATTGCCAGAAGCAAAGCCCTGGTAAGCACAGTCGAAGAAGGGGAAATGCTTCTTTTGAGCGATAATAGCAGCGAGCTCCTTCCACTGGTCGAGGGTAGGGTCGACACCGGTCGGGTTATGGGCGCAAGGGTGCAACAGGATAATGGAACGGTCGGGAGCAGCCTGGATGGCAGCCTTCATGCCCTCAAAGTCCAGGCCGTTGGTCTTCTTGGAGAAGTAAGGGTACTCGGCAAACTGGAGGCCAACGTTTCCAAAGATTTGCTTGTGGTTAGCCCAGGTCGGGTTGGACAGGTAGACGGTCCTGTTGCCCTTGTAGAACTTGGCGAGGAAGAGGGCACCAAGATGGACGGCGCCGGTGCCGGAGATGGTCTGCATTGAAGTGGCCCGTTTCTCCTTGAGGGCCGGGGAGTCGGCACCGAGAATCAACTCGGCAGCCTTGGAGGTGAAGTCGGCAATGCCGGCAATCGGGGCATATTCGTGGTTCAACTCGGGGTTGTTTCGGAGAATTTCATCAGCCTGATAAAGCGGCGGGTGTTGATTAGCCCATGAGCAATGGTGGTGAGTTTGTGACGCATGCGGGGAGCCGTGGGCCGGCCATCGGTGTTGGGCATGGGGTCCATGATAGCTTCGTCACGGCCCACTGGCCATGGTTGACAGAGCGTCAGGCGCCAGGCACCACGAACCTTCTTGACAACGGGGAGAACCCAGGGCTTAGCATTATCGTCACGGTAAGCGCCAATTCCCTATTTGCACAGCGTTAGCATTCAGCATTCATAGCAGGAGCGGTGCCAAGCTAGAAAAGTAAGCTTGAAAGCTGCTGTTGCTGCTGCTCGACATTGGGTGACACGCAAAAGCACCCTCCCTGTCCCGTGGCACGTACCAGGTCGACCTTGCGGGAGCTCTGGTCAGCCTTGTAAGCGCGTGCAAGGCCAAAGAGAGGATCCTCGGGGGCCTGTGGCACGGCATCGGCGGGGAAACTAGTTGCAAAGGCCATGGCGGGCGAGATGTGGTTTGCAATGTTGTTTATTCTGGCGAGCGAGGAAGATGAAGAAGGCGAAGACGGAGAAGCAGAGGACGACGATGAGGATGGAGGAGCCATTGCGGAAAGGGACCGGACTTGAGTCGATGGTGAGGATGGTGGGGTGACTATAATAACTAATGGGCCGATGGTGACTGGTGACTGGCGACTGGCGACGGGGACTTGGCGACAGGCCAATTCTCCTCCGTTGTCCGTAGTCCGTCAATGGTCCCTGGACCGGAGGTGGCTGGTCGACTGGATGAACTTGACGTGCGACGAGTCGCAGGAGAAAAGAGCAGGACAAAGACGGCTGCAGGATGGTGTAGTAGCGGGCGGTTGCGATGCCAATCCACCTTGGGGGCTGCAGGTTGCGGCAGGGATCTTGCTATAAATGAGAAACAAGAAAAATTATTAGCCAGAGCCCCTCGCATAAGAAGGACTGACTCTTGGCAGACATGGAACTTACAGATTGAGTCTTCAGGATCGTGGTCCCGAAAGCGGCGGCTTTGGACGGGGCGGTGCCATCGCGCGGGGGGGGGGAGGGGTCGAATGCGTTTTTATGCCAACTGTGCCGAGTTCCCAGTGCGTGTGTGGGTGGCATCGAGGTCGTTTTGGCCGAGGCCCTTCGGCTCTCACGGGCTCGCAAGTGCTAGTAGTATTTGATGTGGCCTGTGTGGCGTCGACATTTGAACTCTGTTCTAGGGGCACATGCGCAAACAGCACTTGAGGTCTGGCCACTGCCGCTGCCGCTGCCGTGGGAAACGGGGCCCCGGAGCGCAGTGACTGACATGTGCCCACTTTGCTATGGCAAGTGGCACGGAGCGCGGAGCATCATCCAAAACACAAAGTGCATTGCGATTCCCTCATGGCACGTATAATAGTGATGGTATTAATGCACCATCTGAATTTGTCTTGCTGATGCGTATAGCCTGCCTCTGTAAGTGTATTCATGTATTAGTTTGCCGTGGCGGACTATTTGGAACCTGCAATTACACACAGACAGACCCTTGGCAAGGTATGTTGTCCTTCGAGCCGTCTGCCACGACCTGTCTCGTCTTGGTATACCCACACTTCCCCGGCTTCGCCCGCCGTGGCTGGCCCTCCTTCGGTCTCCTGGCCATTGTCTAATGCCTTTCTGCTTCGCTGCCCACGGGGCGCGCTCTCCAAGGTCAGGCGCCCGCGGCCCTCCTGCGCCTTTCCGAGATGAACGGGTGGGTGGCAACGGCCCCGAAAACTAAATGTATTATGTCTACCAAGTACCTTATGAATGTCCCACTGCAAAGGCAGGCAAAAGCCACAGCGCGCTATTTACACATCTGAAACTCGCATTGGATACTGTCCCCATGACCTTTAACTTTTTCAAGGGGAGTGGATCGACGTCCCCGAGTCTGCAAGTTCTGCATCTGGGGTTGGAAAGAGTCTGGGGTGGCTCATCAACCATCTGGAGGTCCCCCACACATGCAAGGAGCAATACGACTCGACAAAGGATTCTTTCTCGTCTTTTCACATGTTCCCCGCCGGACACCGTAGCGACTCTGTATTGTAGTCCACACTACATCTTGACGGAGATGGGTTCTCTTTTTGACCAACATGCTCAAGCTCGCAGTCAGTCACCCCGTAATCTCAAAGTCCAAGCGAGATTCTGTTGCTAGATTTTTATATAGTCAACGTGGGCAAGCCCAGCCCGACCCTTCATATGATCAGATCCCACAGTACCAGGAAAGCACACAACCCGCTGGCCGCAAAGAAGGTATAGCGTGCCGTGCTGGGCCGTTTGGTAGCCTTCTCGAGCTGCTTGTTACCTCCGCCAATGTTATCCGCGGTTGACAAGGAGTTCGTGACAAGCTGCTCAATGTGCTCGGATTGGATCTCCAGATTGTTGACCAGAAGGGATTGGAGCTCGGAAATCTCGACCAGCGATTTTTCTGCAGTTCTGCCACACTACGTTAACACGGAAAGACGACTACCAAAATAAATTGTTGGGTGACGGCACATACCTGACCTTGTCCAACGTGCTTTCGTAATGCTGCATCATGTCCTGATTGCCTTCCTCAAACATTTGTAACTGCTCCTCGGTCAGGCCCTGGGTGAATGCAGACGCCTGAGTGGCCGCCGTCTCGCCTGCTAAGGCTGGGTCTTCAGAAATGGTGGCCGCCATAAACGCCTGTTTCGACACGGGCGGAAAGGGCGCAAAATCCCCGACCGGAGGAGATAGCATGCCGCGAGACTTTTCCACTTCCCTCGTCAACCTCGTCTCCATCATGTCCTGCTGCGTGCGACAGCACAGCTCCAACCTCTGTCGCAAGAACCACAATATGCCATCCCGGTGCATGTCTGTTTGTTGGGCCTGGGCTTCCGCCGCTGCATGTTCTGGTGACCTGCTTGAGATGCTGCCACCCGAGGCCCAGGAACTCAAGGCACTGAAGCCGCTCGCGTACTTTTTCCGAATGAGGGCTGATTCCGTCTCTCGGCGAAGCTGCTCGGCGTCTTCCAGGCCACGAATACTCGCGTTGAGTTCTCTAATCATTTGCTTCGCATTGACGTCGACGTCTTCCCGCTCGCGATCGGTCAAGACCTGCGGCAGGCCATGAGCCGTGCGGCCAGGTGTCCTCCGTGGCTGGGCTGTCGATAGGTAAGCCTGTCGGACATCCCTGAGTTCCTTGTGCAAGCTCGTGATGTGCGAGTTCTGTAGGCAACGCATTGGGGTTAGCAATTGGGGGGATGGGAACTTCCTCGCAAGGGTGGACTGACTATACGATATGCCTCCTTGACGAAGCCTTCGAGTACGTCGACGTCGAGAGCAGCTTTGCCTGATGTAGGTGCGGCGTTGTGCTTTCGCAGTACGTGATTGAAGTCGTCGGTCAGGTCTGTGGACGGGAGATGGGATGCCGCCGAGAACGCCATGGTTTACCGGCAAGGTAATGCCAAGAAGCTTCTTTGTATGTAGCGTAACTGCGTGGCTTGGTGGTTGTCAGTCAGCTAGGTGTTCTCGCGATAGCAGTCAATGCAGTCGAGTGGCATGGGATTGGCTACGTAAGGTGTAAGGCGGGAGCTCTCTTAACACTGCTTAGTCATCACACACAGTAACGTCCAAGGTGCCAAGTTGTAAGCAATTACGCGGAGTCTTGGGCCCGATTTCCCGCCAGATCCGGCGCTGGCATACATGTTGGGTATCAAGACTTCACTTGAACAAGTTGGAAGCGAGGTTAAAAAAATTTCAAAATTACTCCGTAGTGTGGCATCAATCCGAGACCATCACACCAGCGGCGGTAGTTGTTCCAACCACTCGGCATAAATGAACCGACGCTGCGATGAGGGTGGCCGGAAAGAGTCCATGACATGCTTAATTTAGCCGTGGCAGAGTACCAATTTGGTTCCAGTCGAATCATTGGCTGAATTCGTTTCTAGAGGCATGCAGGCGGCAGGAGAGACCCAGACACCTCGAGGCAACGTCATCACTGTGGACGTTGGTGCCGTTGTCTGCGCGCATGAAATTGCTCGCAATATGGTTACTCGCAGGTGATTGGTTTTTTCTTCCCTTTTCACTCTCTCCTACTCTATCGTCCAAATACTGAGACATGCTCGCCGTCCTGGTCCTTGGCTGCCTCAAGTACCGAGTACAGCTACCACCCTTTTGATGTTCGGAACCTGGCCGTGCGCCACCAGGGCCGGAAAAGGGCTTGTCCAGACTGTCTGTTGGCAAGCGCCAAAAATCAACGGAAGTCGACCGAGCATTACTTGGATGTCGACATTCGTCGCTGGCAGCCACTCTGGCAAAGCTGGGGCAATGAAGACGCCTGGCGAGACGAGACGAGACGTTGACTTTGACGCTACGCTGTCTTGGACGCTAATCGAACTCTCGCGCAAACAAACCCAACGGAAATGCAAGACGACGACACGGACTTTACCACCAGAGATGTCATCCACTTGGACTTGTTGCGTCCCCATATTACCAAGTGGCCGGGCCTGAGTCAAACCACCAGACAACGTAGACAATCTCTCCCCACAGCTGACGCTGCCGATATGGCGCCGGGCTCCAACTCTGCTTTATTTTTAATACCTTGCCTGTCCCTCTCCTCCCGTCCTCACGCCTCTTCTCTCCATTGTATGCATCTATAAGACGAGTGATGGAGTCCGAGTCCATTGCTCTCGTTTGCGGTAATGAAAGATGAGAGGAAACCCAATGTTCCCGTGTCCGACCCGGATTGCCAGAGGGCCGTCGCCGTCACGGACCGGGCGGACGCGGCGCCGGCGGCAGAGCCAAGCTTGAGGGCAGAGCCGGTCTCACGGGCTGTATCAACGCCGTCAAGACCATCGTCACCACCACCACTCCAAGTTGCTCAGCAAGTTGCTCACCAACCTGACTTGCACCATGTGCCCACCGCCGTCGTCGAAAAGATGGCATCCGCCCCTACCAGCCAGGTCCTCACGGATTCCTATGATGTCGAGGCCGTGTCTCGCATTGCTAGCGCGCCGTACAGTGCCTTTACACGCCGGACCAAGATGTGGATTACTACCATGGTCACCATTGCCAGCGTCATCTCGCCAATGACGGCCAACGTCTATTTCCCTGCGCTGGACTCTGTTGCCGACGATCTCAACGTGTCAATTGCCTTGATCAACCTCACCTTGACCACTTACATGATCTTCCAGGGGTTGGCGCCCACCATATTTGGCGACTTTGGCGACACGGCAGGTCGCCGTCCAGCATTCACGCTGGCCTTTACCATTTACTTGTTTGCCAACATCGGACTGGCCTTGCAGCGCGACTACACTGCTCTCTTGGTCCTGCGCTGCCTGCAGTCAGCCGGCAGCAGCGGCACCCTCGCCCTGGCGTATGCCGTTGTTGCTGACATTGCCTCCAGCGAAGAACGCGGCCGGTACATGGGACTTGTCGGCGCAGGCGTCAACTTTGGCCCTACCGTCGGGCCGGTCCTGGGCGGCGTTCTCAGCCATGAGCTTGGATGGCCCTCCATCTTCTGGTTCTGTGCCATCTTCGTCTTCGTGTGGCTCATCCCATGGGTCCTGTCCGTGCCGGAAACGTGTCGCAATGTTGTTGGCAACGGCTCTGTACCGCCTCC